TATCAGAGTTCGGGAAAACAATCTTCTCAATATCCTCGGCTTTGACTTCAACTGGTTTTATGATCTGGATCCAAATCTTTTTGTAAAAGACTTATGCACCTTGTAGTTTGATCAAATAAAGTCACGATTCCTAGGCAAAGGATACTTATTTCTTTATAGTTACTTTATTAAGCTCCAAGGTAGTCCACACATAATACAAAGGGTCCCATCCTTTCTTCTTTACAACAGAACCGGTGCACCGCAGAGGAGGAAGGTACTTGCGGCGAATAAACCCTGTTATCAAGTAGATCTTTGCAACTATTACTTCATTCCTTTATTTCAGCTTGGTAACATTCCTATAAGGAGTTTTGAGATAGGTTGGTTTCCCGGCACTTAACTTCAATTGTGAATTCATTTCCACAATCCCATCAACTCTCGTAGTAACTCCTTCGGAAAAATATTCGCGAAGAATTCCACAACAATTGGAATTTCTCAACACAACACATCCGCTAGTGGTCCCATTCAAGATGCTACACAAATACCCCCGACAACCCTCTTTAAGAACCAAATTTTTTATGGGGGGGCTTTTTTATTGCTGAAATCAAGTGAGGTGGAGGGATCACCTTATGGCCCATAAAAGTAAATTCAGATTGTCCGGGGGTGGAAAAAGACAACATGTTTAGAACATACAATCGGATATCACATGTATTTACTTAGCCATCCATTCCAAAAATGATGTCAAAAGTTAGGGCCCCTATAAGAGGCAACAGTACGACAATATACTGAACATTTTCCAATCAAGATTTTGCATGAAGTTAAATAGATGATACATAACCATAGAGTTCCCTGACAAGTGAGGGATGACCCGACCACCTCCAAACATAATGCAATGGTTCCATAGGTTATTCAAATGACAGCAGATGTTCTGACACAAAACGAATAAGTAGAACCCGAAATTAAAATAATACATAAGCGGCGGTTGACCATTGATAGAGATAGTACCTGACCCCACTTGCCTCAGTATTCTGTGATATTACCTGGAATAAGGAAAAACACGTCTTTCCTGTCGAGTAGTGTCTCTAGGTTGTTGGCAGGCTTTTGACAACTGCTTTTTTGTGGTTTGAGGCTGGAGTTGACCAGCTGAAGCTTTGTATAGTTCTGTTCCATTTTGTTGGTCTTCTGGGGGCCAATCTCTCACTAAATGACCCGTCTTCCGCACCTTGAAGGCCCCAAGTTTACTCGGTAACAAGTCCACGGTGTCGTCTTCCCACAATCCAGACAAACTGTTGCCGAGTCACGGGTAGAGGCAGAGGTATAGAAGTCCCCAAAACTTTGATCTTCTTATTTGGTGGGCCACAATCCCCTTGGTTGTTTGCATATTCTGTCTCTTCCCTTTCTACTTAGAGATTCCCGTTTTAAGCAGTTATATTTCCTCAGCCAATTATTGCCGATTTCCAAATACATCAACATATGTAGGTATTGTAACACATAATTCGGTTAGAATAGCAGTTCCGCAATCCTCCTCAAACTTTCTCATATTTCTTGTAAATCCGCTATCCACTATCGTGGTGGTGCGGAAACGCGAGTTAATTTGCAACTGTGCTTCATACCAGCTATGGTTTTATTCTCTGCCTCAAGGTTTCAAATTCGTCACTTTCTTATCTGCAACATGTGGAAAATACATTGTCATAAAAAGCTCTACAATTGTGCCATGTCAACCCTTGATGTTCATCCTCGTGAGATCCACCACCTCCAGTTGCTTCGTTTTCAAGAGTAAAGGCTGCAAGTTGCACTTTTTTGGGCCTCGCGTGCATGGAAAGCCTCGAATAACTTTTCTCTATGCCAAACACCCACGCTTCTGCTTTCAATTGGGTGAATCCCCCCCTTTGAATAATGGCAGTTTCATCTTCCTTGAATTCTTTCGTAGTGTAATGTGTTCCGGTCCTCGGCTTGATGGTCTTGTCACCATTGGCAGTGGTATAAGTACCATGGTGGCGACGATGGTTGTTGCTGCTGTTGCTGTTTCAGAGTTTCTGCTATTTCCAATGATTCATCCCTTCCATTCCAATATCCAACCGTGCAGATGGTAGCATCCACCGAATCATCCACATCGTCCCTCACCATGATCTACGTCAGCCCAACAAATTTTAAGTACACACAAAAAGATACACAGGTGTACATTAACTATATTCATTTCATAGTCCATACCTTGTTAAGGCACATACAATTCAGGTTACTATGTTTCATATTTATATGCACAAAAGATAAACATGCATGTGACCAGTTCTTGGTCTAGATCCTTTAAAAGCTCAACTGGAACCGTTTGCATGGGTAGCAACTCGTGCTCTGATAACCAACTGTCATTGACCCAAACCTGCCCCTAAAGTTTGCAGCATGATCGGCCTTGTACTTAGCTCAAACTAATTCCAAAACAATAATTTACTCGGTAACAGGGCCTTAAAGCGGAAGCAATAAATAACAGAATGCCCATTTGCTGTTGCTTAAATGCTAGGATCAAAAACATTTGTATTACATATACACAGTCCACATAATTAACAGACCAGACAAATAGAAATACACAAGAGTAGTGCACTCCAAAGTTACACCTATGACAGACTTTCAACGAAGGTCATCAAGTGGACTTGACAACATACTCTTATCAAATAGAACATTTCACAAAAAGACAAAAAGGTTCCACTTTTGGAAAACTCGACAAACTGTTCAACAAAAAGGTTCTTGGACTGACTATTAGAGTTGTCTCTCGAGCTGGTCACCTACATTAAATATACGTAAAAACGGAGTGAGCAAGGCTCAGTGAATAATTAGCTAAGTGTTAGGAGGTTTAGGTGAATGAGTATAGCCTTTGAAGCAATATATATATATACATATTAAACCATATCTATAATTCAAAATGGCCTCCGGGCCCACATTTTAATACAAAACGGCCTCGAGTCCACAGATGATATTAAAACGGCCTTGGGCCCAACATAGTAATGGAACGCCTTAGGGCCCAACATAAACAACAACTGTCCAGAACTAATATAGGGAGGTGGAACATCGCATGTGTCCATCTCCCTTGGCCGATAGAGCCATTAGACATATGCAATCCATATCATTATAGAGTAGATGGAACATCGTAGTCCTCCCTCAGGCCTTAGGGCCTAGTTTCATACCAACAATTCACATCTTAATGGCTCGGCCTATCTTTATTAAACCTCACTCTCGCTCGAGCGACCAACTCCTCGCTCGAGCGAAGGTCCAAAAATCTGGGCAGCAACACTAGGCTCCCAAACACAACCAACCTGAAACAAACCTGCCCAACACATCCTATAACTCAATATACAAAGTAAAGAGGATGCAAACAAGATAATAAACAACTATCAACATCCACGGACACATGTCCGGATCACTGTACAACAAGGGTAAACCCGGGATCGCTATACCTTTTATAATAAATAAATAAATAACCTAGACAGTTTTACTTATTTTATCCTTTTGATGCCCATGGTTGATAAGGCCTTCATACTCATTTTAGAGGGTATTAGTTTGCTTCTCCCTCAATGCCTATGAGAAGTTATGTTCTTATATCCTGGTGGTTAGGTACATAAATATTCATTTTCACTTTAAAATGCATAGAACCATCTGTGAAACTTCAAGTGATAGAGCCATAATACCGTTACGATGATATAGAAGGCACACCTGTGTCTCAAAACATATTGACTCAAATTCATCCTGTGAATAAAAAGACACAAGTTAGTAGTCAACTTACAGCTTACAAATTGGAACTTATAATCACGTTGAATCAACTCTAAAGTCTAATGTGTACCACATCATAATTTATTCATAGTTATTTCTATTAACAAAACAACTGCTGATAATCCAAGGCATGCTAAACAACACTAGCAATGCCTTCTAATGATGAAAATAAAAAATTAGAGAGCTCCATTACATCTAAGTAGCACAGACATGCACGGACATTGACTGCACATTGTAGTTGTTACATAAATACTTTGATATGTATACAAATTATATCATACCATATATAACTTTGATATGTTTGGTTTCTATGCTAACAATTCCATAACATGGAATATGAAATCTGACATCATTTACCTTCTTTTTTTTATAGTAGTACCACTTCTCCCATTCATTTTTTTCCTAACATTGTTCTTTTCCCATATCAAAAAGTGCTTGTTGCTATCTTGACTTAAATGTGTACATTGTCAAATTCTCTTAAAAGAAAGGAAATGATCTGACACTTTGCGCATGTTTAATCTAGTTACTATTAGTGTCAGGAAAATGCTCCTATAAAGAAGTGTTTGTACTGCATCGGTTATCTGATGGGAGATCTAGAAGTTTCAACAAAGTACCAAAAAGTTTGAAGTATTTTAATGTACGACATGTTGCAAGTGTTGGATATAATTCCAGAAATGTCCAAGAAGTGTTAGAGAAGATGGATCCCCTTGAATGATGCATTTAAATAATAAAGAAAGGATGCCCTTTTTTTTTACAATAGAAGCAAATGTGCAATACATTAGGACAAAACAAGAAGTGGAATGAAAAATGTGTACCTCTAGATTTTCATGTAAAGAATTAAGAACCTGAAAAAGTAGACAGCACAACATGGTATATTAGTCCAAGCTAAATTTAAAAGGGAAAGTAGAAGGTATTTAAAAGATAAACAATGACAACAATGCCTCTTTTAATGCAGTGCTGAAAATCTATAGTTATAAACTAATGCTACAGGGCAAAGATGAGATCTTCAAAGCTTATTTAACACCATGGATTTTTCGCTTTGCTTCCTTCTTCCAACCCCAAAAACTCCAATGCTTTTGAAGCAACCTCACAATGCAAAAGGAGATGATTAATAGACTCATCCACTTTTTTCAAATGCAACACCAATTGGGGAGCACCTTTGGCCCCCACTTATCAGTAGTCAGTATCACTTCCAAAGCTACAGTCATGTTAAGACACCTCAGCTGCTAGATGATCTTGCAAGGGAAGACAATGTGTGGCCTGGGGCAAGCAAAGAAGCTTATAATATGACCTCACTGCAAATTTTCTGGTCCTGTTGCCCCTCCATGATACAACATCCACATTGTCACCAAGGACACCATTAGATAATGGGTTTCATGGTGGTTCAAGTTAAAGAAATCTTGTGGGTTTATTTAATTTTTTATTTTTTATTTTTTTGTGGATAAGAGTAGGAGGAATGCTGCAAGGTTATACGAATATGGATTAGAATTTGCTTGCTTGCAGATGTGTCAAATTGCAGGACTTTCAAAAACCCAAATCAAAGTTGTATGACTTTTGGCAACAAGGAAACAGGTTCAAGTCAAAGTGGTATGATACATGGTAGCTACTTTGTTTAGTTGAATCTTTTTTTTTAAGCCTGATTATTCATAATTTATTGTTGTTAAATTTTCTTATTAATAGTTGAATCTTGAAATTGTCAACTAGCAAGATGATTGGAGAGGTACTTTATTTCTCATTTAACATAAAATTGAATTTATAACCAATTGTTGTCCACATTATTTCTTATTTTTCCTTATGTATTGCACAGAGTTCAAAAAAAGCTGAGAAAATAATTAGAAAGGAGCGTGAAGCTATAATTGCTGCGATAATGGATGAAAGAAGAAATACATCATTCAGAATTTTAGATGAGTGTTCTACTTCTCCACATGTTGAATCACATGATATGGAAGGAGTTGTAGACTCCACTCAAGTACCAAAGAAGAAAACTAGGGGGGCATCAAAGTTAAAGATGCATGACAAAGGAAAACAAAAGTGCGATGAAATTGACTTCAATGAAAGGAATCAGCCTGTGTTGAGTCAGTTAAATCAGCTTGAAATTGATTTCGTAACATCAATTGTGGTTGCATAGCTGTGTAATGAGTGTTCTTCACACGTCATATGTAATATATTTATGACTGCATGTATGCTTGTGTTTTTATGTATGTTTATGTAGTATAAATTAGATCTTGCAGAAATGAAATTATAAACTGCATTGTTGATTTGCAAAGCTTCAGTTTCTCGTAGCTTCAGCTCCTCGGACAAAAGCTCTGCAAAGTTCTTTTCTGTGTCTTCACTCACTTCAGGATCATGCTTCGCACAATCTGCATGAAAATATGGCCAAACATAACAAAGAAATGACGAAATTCTTAAAAGTCAAACACCTGTATTACACTGCACTTTTGTTTCATACACAGATTCATGATAGTTAGGAGTCCTAGATCTCGGAACAAGCAGGTTGGAAAATTGGGCAGAGATGTAACTGAAGAAATTGATATGATCTAGGATTACTCACATCAAATTGTAAAAGCATAACATAATGTAAACCTTGTAAGAGCTAGATATGCATAATGATGAAGAAACCACACTCTTAAATAGGGAAAGCCATGTCCCAAATGTCCCCAACTTTTTGCACATTGTTTGCCAGTAATTCTACGTTTAAAAGAAATGAACTAATTTAAATTCTCACAAAGAAAGTAAATTAATCAATTTTTTAGTTATCATCTTTACAGTGTAACACATGTACTTATCTAATTTGTTAATGAGCCAATTCTAAAGTCATCCAATTTATATTTTTTCAGACATTCAAATGTGTCTTAATTATGCCTCGGATGGTAATGTTTATGTAGTGGTTGAATAGCCTTTGTATGCCCTAAGATCCTTTTTTTTTAGCCTTGTCATAGTTTTAGGGCTATAATGTGGTCCAGCAGTAACAGTTTAGCTCTAAGCCAACACCTGATGATAGTAACAGTTTCAGATATTCAAATGTGTCTTTTTTTGAGCCTTGTCGTATTCATCAGGTTAAGTAGACTCATAAGTGTGACCATCTCAAAATATATATTTATCAGGTTGAAATTTTCTTTTCTGACATTGATGACATATGTAAGTGAGTTCTCGTTGAAGCTTTTTGACACTTTCATTTCCTTTGTTGAACTAATACTTGGTAAATGGGATGAATGTTATGCAGTATGCTTATATACTCTTAATTTTTGTAGGATCAAAGTAATGGTGTGTCGAGCTTAGCAAATGTCAAATGCAAGTTGTTGCATTGGGAGGGGTCAAACTTGGTGGTTGCAGAAGGCCAAATTGCATCAAGGGATCCTAAGTCAAAGGTGCATCATGCAACTCTTGGACCTTTGTGTTGGAAAGTATGGGTGAACCACGTAACAGTCAACGTGCCGTTGTTTCGTTCTACTCATGACATGTATGATTTTCAAGATGCAATAGGAAGTACAGTTGCATGGCCAAGTCAATTCATTCTTTTGGACTAAATATTGGACTAATTGATTTACGATTTGCAGTTATACTTTTTGGATGTTTCAAGTCGTATTTTAGAGATTAGTAAATCTTATGATTTGGATACTTTTTTTGATTTGTATGTTTGAGGTTGTTATCATCTTGATATGATAGAAGTTGAGGATAAAAGTTAGTATACAGGTTGTTTGGTGTATGGATATTAGATTTTTTTGCTTACTTCATAGTTGCTACTTCTGCTTGGTTTGTAATAGGTTGCATTTTATAAACTATTGTCTACATACGGTTAGACAAGGTCATGTTCCTATATATATATTATATTAAAAATAACTTTCTGCGGCATGCAAAATTATGCCGTGAAAAGTGTAATGATTTATGGCATGTAAGAAAATGTCATAGAAGATTATATACAACATACAAGGCATGTCATAAATATATTAAAAATGACCTTCTACGGCATACAAAATTATGTCGTGAAAAGTGATGATTTATGACATGCAAGAAAATGTCGGAAAATACTATATACGACATACAAAGTATGCCATAAATATATTAAAAATAATCTTCTACGACATGCAAAATTATGTCATGGAAAGTATGATGATTTATGGCATTATAAAAATGTCATAAAAAGTTATATACGACATACAAAGTATGTCATTAATGTTTAATTTATTACTTTTTACAACTTTACCTGCATGCCATAAATGATGCTACACTTTTCACGGCATGTCATATAACGACATTTGTGTGCATGCCGTGAAAGAGTTTTTACAGCATGCATCGCAAGCCGTAAATATTTAATTTTGTTGTAATGAAAGGTCTTAAACATTCATACATAACAGAAACAAAAGGGTGAATCTAAAACACCCCAAAACAGCCTTGGCTTGAACGGGCTCGGAACCTTGAAGTGAGGCGCAATGGTTGGCTTGACAAAACATAAGCTTAACTCGACGCTTCTAGCTCCGGTCCGATGCCTAGACACCTACATATAAATATAAACAGTGAGCTAAAGCTCAGTGAATAACAATTGTGTAAAGGGGTTAAGAATGAATGTTCTTTCAGTAATTAAAACAGTCATTTACATCAGTAGATCAGTCATTCAATCAGTGGCTCATATTTCATGTCATATTGGTCCTTTAGAAATCATAGCAATCATACGTGGTACATCCAATGGCAACACAGTACAGTAAGTCTTGATAGACCAAACAGTCAATTGATGGCCATCGAAACAGTATACAGTATTGGTTCCAACATTGGAACTAATAGAGATCTCTATAACAGTAGTAGTAACAGTAACAGTAAGTTGCTATGGATGCCACGAGTACAGTTCATAAAATAGGACAAACATTCATTCAGTAAACAGTGTCACTTCAGAAAGCAATACAGTCGATCATTTAGAAAATAATTATAATTGAACATATCTTTACAACATTGTTACTCACTGAGTACTGGGCTATAGGCAGGCTAATTAGCATCCTCGGATGCCAACCCTGCACAGTAACAGAACGAACACACACTAAGTTACACACTCGGGATTAATAACTTAGCCTCTATCTTGACTTGGTGTGGTTCTATAACATTATCCTCATTAAGATGCCTTAAACATGGCCTAGGAATGCCTAGGATGGAATGAGGATGCAAAAATGCACTTTAGAACACTTTTCAAAATTTGCTGAAAACAGGGGTCTCACTCGAGCATAGCTTTCTCCGCTCGAGCGAGCTTACCAAAACAGAGGGGTCGCTTGAGCGTAAACTCCTTCGCTTGAGCGGTCTGCAAAAATGTAAAAGTACTGGTTGTTGAAAATCTCCGCTCGATGCTCGCTCGAGCGTGAGACATAGTTCTTCGCTCAAGCGTAGGTTTCGTCGCTCGAGCGTGCGTCTGCGTCCACAAAAACCTGAGAGCTTGCAATCTACGCTCGAGTGGAGCTCTGAACACAAAAGTGGTCGCTCGAGCGTGGAATCCTTCGCTTGAGCGTGGAAGCCAAAATCTGGGTTTTCCTGATTTGCTTCCAAAGCCCAAACCAAGAATTAAACACATCAAAACTCAATCTTTTGGGGCAATTTTCTGGAAAACACTTGGACACTCATAATACAACATGTTTTGAAGATCATTTCATAAAATTAAAGCCAAAAAGTATGCCAATTGAACACAAATTCAACCCAAAATTCAAGAACATGTTATAAATATGCCATGGATGTGTTTATTTGAATTCAAAGCTTCTAACACATGATCAAATGAGCCATTCCTTCCAAAAACATGAATTCAAAGCTTCTAACACATGATCAAATGAGCCATTCCTTCCAAAAACATGATAAACTCATAGATTACAACCATAATCTAGACATGCATGGAAGAATTTCACGCAAAACAACTCCAAAACTCCAAAATATGGACATGCATGTATGAAATCACTCTCAAACCAACACTTTAAGCCAACCCTTGACTCAAATCACTATTTCTTCCATGAACCATCCGTGTAACAACTTAAATTCATAATTAAAAGAATGAATTTCCTACCTTAAGTCTTGAATTCCAAGTATGGAAGTCTAATTTTGCGAATCTTCTTCAATTCCTTCTAAATTTTCCAAGCAAAATCTAGACGAACTCAATTTTTCTTCCAATTCCCTCTCTCTCATGTTTGGCCTAGAAGATGGATGAAAAATAGTGCATCAAACATATGTAAAGTGTAATAAGGGTTGGTCTTGAATTAGACCACTCAATGGCACAAGTGTAATTTGCCTAGATTCAATTAGTTTAACATTGTTTATTCTAATTTAATCATTCCCAATCAAATTTTAATTAAACCTACCATAAAATCACATTAATCCTAGTTAGCATATAACACTAACCAATTTCTGAATCGGTCGCCGATAAGGCTTTCAATTCGCAGTCCGAAATCAAAACATGAACAGATCATTCAATGACAAACAGATAGAAATGCAATTAAAGCAACACACTCATGCAATCAATTCAGGATTTCATCTTAATCAATTACTTGTCATGCTTAAACATGAGTTAACACTAATCAGAGGTAAGGGTTGTCACATGATGCTAAGATAAATGTGTGATAAGACTAAAAAAGACAGAGTTAGAAATAAGTATATTCGTGAATAGGTAAGAGTAGTACTGATAAAGGATAAAATGAGAGAGAATAGATTAAAATGATTTGGTCATATACAACAGAGACCAACAGAGGTAGTAGTGAAGAGATGTAATACAGTGATAGCAGATAGAAGTATTAAGGGAAAGAATAGACCTACATTGACATGGGTTAGGGTAGTAAATAGAGATATAAATCTCTTTAATTTGACTAATCAAATGACCTTTGATAGAGTGGAGAAGAAAAATTCATGAAGTCGATTCCATTTGATAGGACTTAAAAATTGGTTTAGTTTGGTGTAGAATTTCTCTGACTTTGTGTAAAATCAGAGAAATTCTCTAGATTGAAACTAGAGAAATTCTCTCTATTTGCAGCAGAGTAATATTTTTATGAACAGACCTTGGTGATCGTACGTTGATCCAAGAAACTCTCACCTTGGATGTGTCTTCACAGTGGTAGTTTTATCCGTCCATTGTGGTGCTCGTGGTGAGCTTGGTCTAGTTTGGTTGTTTCCTGGCTGGTTAAGCTTACGGTGTATGCTCAGCTCATGCTATGAAGAGCCTCTCTCTCTCTAGATTTTCTAGAGAGAGAAAGTTCCGATCATGGTGGTAAAAGGGTTCAGAGTTCGTCGGCATGTTCTTGTTGTTGAAATTTTGCTGTTTTACTTCGTTGGTTCTCTAGTGGACTTGTGTGTGCCTCTTCCTACGATGCTAGACTGGTTTTGGTCTCTGTTAACTATGCTCTTCATGTCTAGGCTGTTTATTTATATTAATGTCGAAGATAGTAAGTCACTGGTACTGGTTGCAAGGGTCCTCTCTATGATATTTTCTACTCTGGTTTGTTCTCATCTGGCATTAGTTTCGCCAGTGTGATTGTGCAGTGTGTTGCTGCTCTAGACTAGATTTGGTCGCCGACGAGATTGTCAGATTATCCGGGTAAGGAAGAAAA